TGCGCTGATCAGTGTTTGGCTGTGTAGCCGATGCTGAAATGAAGCGTTCAGGTGTCAGATCCACTAATAAAAGATGAAAATGCATGTACATCTGATTCTCCTTGTTACTGTCTATCATCTCCAGGATAATCAATGGGTTTCGGCACGTGTGCAGGTTTACAGACAAGTTCAAGGTGCAGTAACCAAAATATTGAATACTGCATATGACTTCATGAAATAAAATCAATAACCTTCTTATTATGCCGTGCCACGAAGTCCGACAGCCCGAAGTAAACCTGCCGAAGCCCAGCAGCTTTCTTCAGGGCCAACACAAAAAAAAATAAAAAAGAGGACAGAAAGAAGTGCATTTAGGAGCCTCAGAGTGTGTTTCTGTGGTCATCAGCTTTAGGTTGCCAGGTTGGGAAATGTCCCCCATTCTGGTGTTCATCGACCTGTTAATAAGTCGTCTGCAATTAGAAATCTTAATAAGTCACACTCATGGTAATCTGTCACATCTGTTCTTGCAGTGTTCGTTTTTGTGCAACCTGACAATCTACATGTTCATCTTAGCAACTTATTGCTAATCTACATGCATTAGTAAATTCCTTAGAAACCATTATACACCATTCATTATGACCTGCACACCATTTCAACACAACTTCATTTTGTGTAACAACTTTGGCTCCATAAACCAAACATTTATTTATTTACCAGCAGGGTCAGTCTGCACCAATTCACACAGAATTCAGAAAGTATGTTGCTGCACCATCTCAGATTTTGTCCAGAGTTTTCTTGTTTGTTATTTGTGAGCTACGATGAGGTTCTGTAAATGTTTGGGCTGAAATCTCAGAATTTTGTGTGTTTTCCGACCTGGGAATTTTTTTTTATATTTTCACACTCAAAAGACCCCTCTTCCATCTTACCTGGGAAGGCATTTTAAGCATTCACTATCTCTAAAAAATCTAAGTCCATGAAATTTGGTGAGGACACAGACTGTACTGGTTCAAGCACATCCAGATATCTGAGGCTCTAGCAGAGGCCGTGTTTTAAATTATTGACCCTTAAAATAATTAAAAATTTACAATCAAGGGTGGTTTTGGGGGCTTCAGAAAGTTCCTGTAAAGTGTATATATACACGGCTGTATCCGTATTTCCTCCTAAAAATACAGTCTTTGGTTTCATTGCTTTTCTAGCACCAGTAGAATTTGATGGTGGCAACGAAGGCAAGACTGGGCTCCAGATTTGTGATATTTTTTTTTTTAATATTTCTTTTTGGGCTTTTGCCTTTATGTAGAGCAGTGGAGAGAGACAGGAAAGGGGGGAGAAGAGTGAGGGAGAGACCTGCAGCAAAGGGTCGTGAGCGGGATTCGAACTCACAACCGCTGCGTCGGGGATTGTAGCCCCTGTTCATGGGTCGCCCGCTCAACCAGGTGAGCTATACGGGTGCCCCAGATTTGTGATATTTTGACAAAATGGTGACAGACGGCAACACAGCTATCTGAACTTACATGAACCGACCTTAATGATAAGTAGGGATGCACGATGTATCGGCGACCGCATCGGTATCGGCAGATATTACTATTTTTGCCGATATATCGGTATCGCCTTCGTCTCTTCATTGTTTCTGTATTTCACAGATGTTTTTACTTAAATGGACTTGAACGTTAAATATGTTAAAATATGTTTTACTTTTGTTACATAGTAAAGAAGACTACGAGGTCCAATTTGGTACCGGCTTCTTCTTAATAGTTTTCACATTCTCACTGTGCATACAAATACTCATTTTCAGTGTGAACAAAAATTGAATATCAACATCAGTAACATTGGTTATCGGCGATATCAGAAATCTTAATGTCGGTATCGGCCAAACTTTTAGGTAATCATGTAAAAAAATAATAATGTAATTGGTTAAAATGATGTTAGCTTATTAAAAATGACAATATGTGACAGTTCACTTGTGTGTAATCAGCTTATAAACACTTAATAAAGGCTGTATTATTAATTATAAGTATTAATTATCTATTGTAGAGAAAATACGTGACAACACGACACACAGTAATACATGTTTTTGGTTTGTTTATGAATCAACATATTCCAGGTTAAATTCAAACTAGTATTTGTTACACATGTATTAAGCAAAATAACTCATTAGTTATAAGCTCTTTGTCTATAAAAACTGTGGTATTAGTATTAGTGATACTAACAATACAGCAAAATTGAGTAACTCTGAACTGAACATACTTTTTTTCACAAACTTATACAGCAAGCAGCACAAATATATGATCTGTTAGCTATTAATGCAGCTGTGGATTGAAGTAATTGCAATATATTGGATATTACTATATATTATATTTTATTAATATTATATAAATTGTGATTTGTGACGTGGGGGAGCCTTCGTCCAATCAGATCCACAGCAGACGGCAGAACGTCATGTTGTACAACAAACAACCTCCTTTCGCCTCCACTGTGTTGGTGGCATTTCAGAGTTACAGTAGATCTCCAATTAAACCCAACCGTCTAAATTAACAGCTTTTACGAGGGAGAAGCCAGAGCATTCTCATTCTAGTTTGGTTTTATTTGTGTACTTTCTGTACCTTGCGGCTATTTGGGTTAAACAACACGTTAAAGCGCTGTGAAGTCCCAGAGGACTCCACTCATACAGGCCTGCACCCTAATACACTCCAATGGAAGACCGTTTATACAACTATTGTTATTATCATTTACATTTATTAGTTCAGGAAACAGCGCCATTCTGCCATTCATGAAAACAAACAGCTACCTGCTGTGCCACTTAGTCCGCCTCTCAGTTATGGATCCTGCTGCTTCGTGATGTTGCTGCTGTTTAATAGAGTAAAAGAAAAGAAGGCGCCGTTCTGCATTTGTTTGTTCAGCACAACGCGGTGTCTGAAAGCAATTTTAAGAGTTTTACACGAGTTAGTGATGGTGTGATACCTGAAGGAGACAAGGCTGAGCTCTGGTGGACTCAAATTCTAACTTATCAACACCTCATTGAGCAGTTAGCTTCATAAAAGTGTGGCGTGATGCTAACTAAACGATGTGTTTACAAGAACTTTGGCTTTGTTGGCTTCATAGGCAACATGGGGTCACAATAAATACCACAACTTCTGCCCTCGACTAGCCAGATCATCAATCGTAGGCCGTCTGCCCATAGATTCAAACCCGATCAACATGGTGGCTGGTTTGGAAACTTTTGCTTGCATTACGAAAGCAGCTCACCAAAATGTGTAAAATATTTGAGGTGAGAAATAAACCATAGAGCTGCTTCATTTTAGATCTACACCAGTTAGCTTGGAAGTTTTTCTAGAGTTGCTTGATGGGCTGATTTGCATAAAGTAGTCTGGACCTCAACTTTATGCAAATGAGGTGTGAACAACGTGTTGCCTCATCTCTTGAAAATGCAGCGAGGTGTTTCAAGAGTGCAAGATTTATTCAGTTGTAGGTTGAAAAAGAGACAATATTAAGAATGCATTGCACGACTGCTTACATGGACAATGAATAGCAAGTGTTTAAAGACTGATCATGATGACCACTTATGATTCCTTGTTTCTTTCATGCCTCTACATCCACACACGATATATAAAAGATTCATGTAATCTAAGGGTCTGAAAAGTGAAGTCAGTGTGAAATTGCTGTAAACCTGCATTCTGATTAGCAGCCAGCAGGGGGCGACTCCTCTGGTTGCAAACAGAAGTGAGATTGTAGAGAAGTCTATGAGAAAATGAACCTACTTCTCACGTGATGTGCTACCTCAGTGGATGAATTCATGGCCTTAATCATTAGTTTCAAGACTTTCTGAATACAACGTGGTGTTCATTTTGCAAATTAAGGTTTCATTTACAGTAGAATAGACAATAAAGCAGGTCATGATTGCATTACCATGTCTAGAGCACTCGAGTCCTCAGCTAGACCCGTTGTTCACTCGTTACTTTCATTTTCAAAAGAGCAAGATCGTGACGGCTAAATGCCAAATACTAGACAGTAGTAGTCAGAGCCGCTATGTCCATCTTTTATATAGAGTCTATGCCAACGCCAGATCAAGGCCAAAGGTATGAAATGGAGAAAATATGAAGTGAACGAGGAAAAGAAAAGATCTGAAGTTTGAAGTAAAAAAAAATAAAAATCTTGTTCTTTTAATCATCTAATTTAATGTCCTTACTCCACTAAATAAATTATAGTTTTTATGCTTTGAGAATAATATTCACATGATGTTTGTGCTAATAAAGCGTCTTGAACTGAACTGATCTGAAACTGAAAATATGGGTTTGCAACTTCAAAGAAATACATAAAAAACATGGAACTGAAAAAATAAGGCTTCAGCTACACATACCAAAAATATATAATGTACTTTGATAAATGTTAAAATATGTATGTATATTCTTTCTAAGTGTAAATATTGCAATTTTTTTCTTCATTCAATGGTTTTTTTTGGTCATTTTGTGTACATATTTATTTTATTACTTAATTATTGTAATTTCCTTGTACTTTCTTTTCTATACTTTCTGGATGCTGCTGTGGCTGGTAGATTTCTCCCAATGGGGGATCAATGAAAATTATTCTATTCGATTCTTGTGCATGCTTATACATATATATTTCTTTATTTGACCACTCAACGTCAAAACGTAAAACTTTAATTTCCACAATAATTATTTAAAAGTTCCCAGTTCTTTCTGTCATTTCCGGAATCACGTGAACGCAGCACGGCGGTAGAGCGCGGGACTGCGCGAGCTCCCTCCTCCCTCCTCCTCCTCCTCCGCTGCTCTTCTCGCGCGTGTGCCCGCCGCTGAGGGGGCGCGCACGGGGGGTTGTGCTCGCTCCTGCTCTCGCTGCTCTCTGACCCCAGTGGCAGCTCCGACTCACTGCACTCCGGCTCCCCCCTCCGTCACACCGAGCCGCTCTCCCTCTCTCTCTCTCCCTCTCTCTCTCTCTCTCTCTCCCCCTCCGTCAGCCTCTCTCGCCCTCCTTCTCCGGCTCTCTTGCCCCCCTTCGCTCTCTCCTTGTCTGGTTTTCTCTTCCACAGGAGCCAGCCGAGGTCCCGCCGGGTCGAAGGTTCTGCCCCCTTTACCCGCCCCGGACTGCCGCAACCTTCCCCCCCTTCCTCGGACGGCCGAGAAAACCTTCCCCCTGCTCTCCCGCTGCTGCCGCCGCCGCCACCGCCGCCGCATGGACCCGCGTCCCTCCGCCGCCGCGTAGAGGGCGACCCCGACCCGACACTCTTTTCTCCGGCCAGAGATATTTAAAAAAAAAAAAAAAAAAAAAAGAGGCACCACACGACGAAGGTACCTTTCTGCTGCTTGGCTTTGAACCGGGAGGGAGGGAGGGGAGCGAGGGCAGGAGAGGAGGCATTCCTGACACAAAGCCGTCGGTTGAAAGGTGGTTGTCATTTCCGAGGAAGAGCAGGAGGTTAGCGGCGGTGCTGTGACACTGACCACCTCCGGCTCTTCTCTTGCTTTTTCGCCCTCCGCGGAGCCAGAGTTCAGCCCCTTTTGCACGGAGCTCTTCTCGTTTCTTCTTCTTTTTTTTTTGTGTGTGTGCGTGTATATTTGTGTGTGTGTGTTGTCTGTGCAAAAGCGGCGCAATAGCTCGCACCGTGTTACGGTATCAGAGAGGGTCAATTTATCCGCCTTCACCCCGCTCGTCCTCCTCCGCTGCCTCCGCTACCGGGAGTGATTTCTCGCCGTGAAGTTAGCTTTGTGCGCTGGCTGCTGGGTGCGTGTGCGAAGCTACAGCGTGCATAATAAAAACCTATTGCCGGGGCAGGTTTTTTTAGTAGCAGGCTAAGCTACACAGCTAGTCGCTGCTGCTGCTGCCGCTGCTGCTACTGTAGCCATAAGGTAGAGACAGACAGTTTGAGCAGACACACACATGCTCAGCTTGTGGAGCATGCTGCACACAAACCAAAGCTTTTCGGCCTGCATTTGCAAAGAAAAAAAAAAAAAGAAGAGAGAAGCTAATTTTCCATGCAGCTGCAGCAGCATTTTTTTTGCAGAGGTAAAGCTCTTGCAGAAATTCATTGCCCCCTTTTTTTTATTTGCTAAACTTTCAACACTTTTTTGCTTTTAATTTAAAATATTTTTTTTGTCTCTCCCCTCCCCAGCCTGGAATAAATCTTTTTTTGACTTTAGCAAGCTGCCTCCATCTGACCCAGAAAACACAAATCAATGCTTTTTGTGAAAATAGGACAGTTTTGTGTGTGTGTGTTGTTTAAATTGAGGAGAAAAAGGTTTTTTCTTTCCCCCTAACACACCACTGCATCCCAGGATTTAACCATCAAATGAACTCCGGATGCTTGTTGATTTCCCTCCAAAAAAAAAAAAGAGATGACAGACTTGTTAAATTGAGGGCAATTTTTTTTCTCTCCCTCTCTTCTTCTTCTTCTTTCCTCCTCCTCGTGCTGCATCAGGAGGTCTTACAAAAAAAAAAAAAAAGGAAGGAAAGAAAGAAAGAAAAACGCCTGTCAAGCCCACAGTGGCCACTTTACTATCAGTTAGGGAGGTCAGACAGGAGGGAGGCTCACAGCGAAGCCCGGTGAGTGAGCTCTGAGGATGCACCGGGGCTCTGCACACTTTTACCTGCTTTTCCTTCTTTTTTAAAAAATAATTTAATTGTACAGGCGTGCAAAGAGCAGATTGATTGTTTTCTGGTTTCAGAATTGGAGCGCCAGGCCCGGACCGACCAGAGCAGATCTTTTGTTTTATTTTAGTGATTGTCAAAACCTGCTTCATGCATGCATTGTATTTATTATTGAAGGCTTCAGCAGCCGGCAGCTTTTCCCTTCTCGGTTTATTTAATTTCAACAGGCTGATGACTCGGAGGTCACGCCTGCAGTCATTTTTTTTTTTCTTGCATTTGACTACATTAGTTTGAATCCAAGTGGGTTTGCAGCAGCAGAGCAGCAATTAGAAAAAGAAAGAGAAGTTGTGTGCAGACTCTTTAACAAAATGCCATATTGTTTTTAAAGGTAGAATGAATCTGCTAATTGTGTTCCAAGTTGCCTCGCTGCATTTTTCTAATTGGGATTTTGTGGAGAACGCTCAGGAATTTGCTTTTATCCAAAATTAAAGTCTGCCTCTGTTACGCAGACTGTTGCATCTCAGCTGGGTCACTGTTTTTTTTTGTTTGTGCATTTAACATTTTGAAGCATTTATTGTGGGAGCTTTTGCATTTTCTTGCCACGTGAAAGACCTTTTGTGTGAGTGTGTCGGTGCCTCTGAAAGCAGCTGATTTGTGTGTGTGTGTGTGTGTCTCGGTGCAGACTGCAGTGTGTCGTGGTCGAGTCGGTCGGCCGGGTCGCTGCTGCTGCTGCTGCTGCTGCCGTTGCCGCCACCGCTGCTGCTGTGGGAGACTTCCTGGGCTTCTCGAAGCGGCTCTGAAGGATGACCGCCGCACGGCTCGCTGCTGAATCCCGGTGAACGAACGGCGTCTCATGTCCAAACGGCGGAAGGATGGCTCATGGCAAAGTGACCATCACGGTGGACGAGTACAGCTCCAACCCCACGCAGGCCTTCACACACTACAACATCAACCAGAGCCGCTTCCAACCTCCACACGTCCACATGTAAGTGACGCACGTTCTACCTGCACCAGTGTGTGTAGAGTTTATTAACAGATTCCAGTTTTCGGCTGCAGATTGAGGAGGTGCAACTTTTAAACCTGCATCTTTTTTTTTGTTTGTTTTGCATGAAGTTTTCAACACATTTTAGAAACTCAAGTCACCACACTGAGGTGCAACAGGAAGCCAATCAGGACTCCTTTTGATGCAGGGTCTCTATTTGTACTTTGATTTAATTGGCTCGTGCTCAGAAAGCGTACGGTGGCCAGCAGGGACAAACGACATAAACGGTACTGATGTAAGACTCGAGGAAGTGTTTAGAAAGTTTTACCGGTTGAAGCTCTGCACACACACACACACACACACACACACACACACACACGCTGAACTGCTTTCCAAGGGTCTCGCAGATTTGAGCAAAAGCTTTTCTGACTTCTGGTGTTTGTCTGCTGCGTTGCGGACGGCGGTTCGCTGTGGTCGTGCCATGAGACTGTTATCGTTTGTGCCATGTTGTCGTTGCGGTGCACGGGCGCTTTGTCCGCATTAGGGCGCTCCCTTTTATTTATTTATCAGACCAGTTACTTAGCGTTGCTCTTGTCTGATGCGGTTATGCTCTGCCTCTCATTAGTGGGTCAGGTCGCTGTGACCCGTCAGCCCTCGCCACGCACACACTCATCACACGTGTGTTATCCGCGGACACGTATTAGCGCAGAGCTGCTGCTCACGTCCAGTCTCCTTCCAATTAGAGCAGTTCTGAGCTTCTGCAAAAAAAAAAAAAGGTTCGGGCCTGATTGTTGGTTGTGGTTGCGTGCGCGGGGTGCTGTGTGTGAAAGTTAACCTGCTGCAGACTGAATGGAGCTCCAGAGTGCTGCCTGTGTGCCGCTTGCTTCATCATTAGAGTGGAGCTTTCTGTCACTTGAATCCTGTTTATTGTTGGGCACTTTGGGTTTTGATTTGGCTGCTTTAGATTTGCAGAAAAGCCGCCGCACGGTCCTTCAAATTCTCTGTACCACAGGTGCAACGCATATGGATGAATATAACAAGGCCAAAATAATGAAATATGGAGCGTCGTGATGGTGACTCGCTTCCAAATAAGTTGAGGCCAGTTTAAGTTTTTAGAAACGCCAAACAGGCAATTATGTGAGAAAATGCAGCTCATGCCAGCGCTGCACGCTAATTACACAATCGCCATTGTTATTGACAGATTTGGCATTAAAGCAAACACAACTGTGCAGTTCCCACATCTTGAGATATAATTAAGTTGTTGAGGGTAAAATCACACCAAAGCTCCATAAAAACACATTTCTTCTGTTTTGCTTGTTGGAACAGATGCATGTAAATATCACGGATTGTTGGTTTGGGTTTAAAAAAAATAAAAAGATGAAGTTTGTGGTTTAAAAAAAAAAATCTTTCCTCTCGTCTGTCACTTCAGAGACCCTCAGACACTGTTGCTGATGATGTGTTTGTAATCGAGCAGAAATTAAAGGAGTTATCTTGTTGAATTTGACATTCACGGGCGTCAGATGGGCGGCGGTGCGAAGCCTTCGCTTGGGTTGCTCACCTTGGATCTTTGCACCGAGATGCTCAGATCTGGAGTTTGTTACGTGATGTGCGAGAGGCTGAGATAACGCAGACGTATAAACATCACAACTTCAGATAAATTGGAGCTGGAGGAAGATTGGGGCAGCGGTGCGAGATCTCTGCAGAGCTGGAAAGTTAACCAGCTGCACTGCTTCACTTTAGGGAGCAACAGCATCTGGCAAACAAGTAGTTTTTCTCTAAATATAATATTGTATCACCTCAGATGCTCAGGTCCCCCTTACGTGTAAACAGGATGATTTTTTATCGTGTAAACAGCTAAATGGGAGTCGTACCTTCCTCCAGGTTTTGTCGTTTTGGGATTTCGGCGCATCGAATGTGGAAAAAGACGACGACGTCACCCATCAGTTTGTGTTACGTCAGTGCCGTTTTAATGGCTGACAAAGACGGCGATAAATCAGGCCAAACGCTTCAATATGAATCAAGGTTAACACATGCCAGGCAGCGCAGGATCCACCAGAACAGGCGGGTTTGAAGTCTGAAGAGGCTGCCTCCATTTTTTTTTTTTTTCCATTTTCAACAAATAATAGAACATAGGAGAAATATTTTCTGGCTTTAAAACAAGACAGAATGACCTCTCCAAGGTTAGAAAATTCACAGTTTATTTTTGGATGTATTATTATTTTATGCTTCTTTGATTGACAGTTTTTTTGTTTCCCTAGAAAGTCTTGGTTCATCTCTGCCTCTTTTTTTTTTTTATTTGCACCAGTTGTCCATAAGAAAAGTTCAGTGAGAGAAGCCTTTAAATAAAACCTTTTTTTTTGGAAGGGAAATGGAGAAACAAGCGAATTGGGAAAAAGAATGAATCGGCCTGATGTTTTAAGAGGAAAATCCTGAAAACGTTTCTCAGAGTGGATCATCATCTGTCATCTGGAGACAGTTTAGTTTTATTCCAGACGGCATATAAGAGCAGATTGTTTGCCTTTAGGTTGTAGCAGTAAATTATTTAGCAAAAAACGACGTATTCAAAGACAGCAGCAGTAGTTTTGCGCTCTTCTGAAAAATAAAAGAGTGGAAAAGGTGCACAAATACAGTTAGATTTCCAGAAAGTCTGAACAAATAATCACAGTGTTTGTCTTTATAATCAGTGTAATCATTTTCTGCCCATATTGTGCCGTCCTGCTGCTTTTTCCATTTGCACCGTGGTCGTTTTAGGAGGTGAAGCCCCTGCAGAAGGGGATGTGTTGAAGCCGTGGGGCCTCTCAGCAGATATGTGTTTGGATAAATACATTAGGCTGTTTCCTGGCTTCCACAGAGCCTGCAGTGTTTTACCCTGTCATTCTTAAACTCAGACTGGGAACCCTGGGATCACACACACACACACTCGTATGAGCCCATCCCCCCGCTACGTTTAAGTGCTTATAGAATACGAGCTCTGTTCTAGCAAAGTAAAGGCTTGTTTAGATTTGGGAGATAATGATCCGACTTTGCTCGCGGTTCCTTCTCTCGCTGCATCCACAGGATTTGGACATAAATAAAGTTGTTGCTGCTCTGAAAGCAGGGGGGTGGAGGGGAAAAAAAAAAAAAAAGGCCAACAGGGTTGCCTGCTTTTTGAAATATAACCCCGACTCTGATGTTTTTTCACCCGGAATATTTAGATTGGTCCGAGGGAGCACAGCGGCGGCTCTTGTGCGGCCGTGGAAGGTGTATGAAAACACGCATGTGGAGCACGTACACACAGCCGTTGCAGTCAGACTGACAAACATGCAGGCACACGGTGGCAGTTACAAGCTTAATGCTCAGGAACGTGACCCCGGTGTCAAAGTGGGCTTTCTGCAGAGCTTCGGGACGCCTCTGTCTCTCGTCTGTAAAGTGAGCGACAGACTCGGTGCAGCCCTGTTTGTGTCTGGTTTATTTTTCTGCGCTGTCTGTGTGTTTTTTTTTTTTTCTATCCTCAGCCCCCTCGTCGTCCTCGTTGTCGTCGTCTTGTGAAATGAAATGCTCAGCAACTTGGAACATATGCTTCGAGTTGGGACGCTAATGGCTTTGAATCCAATTTGAGCAGGATCTGGGCAAGACTGCAGGAAGGCCCGACGCGCAGACAGACAGACAGACAAACAGACGGAGAGTCCAGACGAGAAAGAGTCTTTTAGAAAAACTTTTCAAAAACAATTTTAGGATTAAAGAGCCTCCAACACCTGCCTGCCGCTACCAAAATTACACTATTTATTACACTATTTATTCCACATGTCTTATTTAAAAAAAACTTAGAATAAAAACTAATAAATCTGTGCTCCTTTGTGTGAAACGATTCCTCACAGGAAGAAGTTTTGTGCCTCAGATGCCAACAGTCCTTTAGACGGCTTAGGCAGACATAGGATCGCCAAACTGACAATGAAATAGGAAATGTGCAAATAAAATGGAACAAAACAGACGCACGGGAAAGTTTATATTTACTGTTTTTTTAAAAAAGACCAAGGTATTAAAAATAAAAGAGTGAACTAGGAGCATTTTTAAGAACAAATACTGAACTTTTGCTGTCACAAAACAAAAGTGAATAGAAATATTTATATTTCTCAGAACCTAATATTGGAAAACAAGCAACCTTGCATCACCTCTCTGAACTCAAAATGTAGAAACATGAGGACTCAGCTTTCTATGACACGACCTTCTGTTGGGAAATGAACCAAATATAAACCAAACATCATCATATTTCATTTAAATCATTCTATTCTACATGTTTCATTAAAAGAAAAAAATGCCCCAAATTAAACCTTTTGCGCAGATTCTGCAAAAAACAAAAAACTTCTGCTCTCCTCGGTGCAACCAAAGAAGCCACGACTGACTGAGCTGTGAGCAGCAGACACGCCACGAAGCTTCAGTGACTTCTCGGCTGAACTGCAGGCTGTGTTGACACAGAGCAGAGACAAATGGAGAATCTAAATAGTGAAATGTTCACAGTGTGTGGAGTCACCATTTTTTCCAGTGCTGGTGTGGGTGTTTGCAAAAATGTTGTACATGTAAGCTTTTTATTGTCGTGAAGAAATGATCAAAGAAATTCAACTTTCTCCTCTTTTTTTTTCTTTATGATTCATGGCATTATAACTGTTGTACTTCATAGAAGACGTGTCTGAGCTCTCTCTCCGTCTAGCCATGTTTACTCTGTTTCCATAGAGGTGCAGGACTTTATGTTGCAGTGAAAAATGAGCCCTCAGTGAGGAAAAATGTGACAGGAGCCAAAAACGCTCAGAAACCGCTTCGAGTTTAGACGCTTAAAATGTCTCAGCTACTGGACCGTAGGGATCGGTTAGCGGCAAATCATCTCTACAGTTCCTCATAACATCTGATTTACTCAAGCTGTGCTCTTGAAAAAAATTCCAATTGAATTCTAGCAAATCATTATCTTCACGAGCAGTAACCCTGTTGATTGTTTTTTTTTTTTGTTGTTGTTCATTCTTTAAAAATGC